CAATAATTTTCACAAATTTTCTTCTACCAAAATATTTCTGATCATTCTGTTAGCCCTTTAGTGATAACAAGCAGTAAAAATAAATTATTGTGGGTCTACTACGGGGACCTACTTGAGGGGTGGGTGGTTGGAAAAAGGGAAACAATGGTGGAGGGAATGTGACAGTGTTGGTGTGATTGGTGTTGGAGATTGCCTGCAACAAATCAGTATGGATAACTTTGTAAACCATGGTGTTTAAAAAAAAAGTGGGGAAAACATATAAAAGAATATGTGTACATGAACAGTTTAGTAAAAGGTAAAGGCCCTCCCGTTGATCGTCGATTTGCTCGAGCGGGCCCAGTAACGTCTCCATTGGAGACTTTGTTGTTACTGTGTCTGGCATATCGAATACTCTCGGTAGCTTGCCGGGCTCTCCGAGAGGGGCGGAGGAATCGAACTCGGGTCGGCCATGTTGGCCGCTTGTAAGGCAAACGCCCTACCCGCTGTGCTAGTATTATCTGTAAATATTCTATTAATTTATATCAGCTAATGAACACTTACAAAACAATCCCCAAATCTTTTACTGAACATCTGTGCTATATGTATGCGATTATAACAGAATCAAATAAACTCAGTTTTTGCTAACTGTGGCACTGTAACACTGTCCTCCCATTGCTCATTGATTTGCTCAAGCGGGTACCAGTTAACATCTCTTTTGTGAGACTTGTTACTGTTTTTGGCATATCGAATATGTCACAGGTAGCTTGCCAGGCTTTGCTGTGTGGGCAGGATACTCTCGGTAGCTTGCCAGGCTTTCCAAGAGGGGTGGATAAATCGAACTTGGGTCGGCCATGTTGACTGTGTGCAAGGCAAACACCCTACCACTGTGCTATCACTCCAGCCCAGATCAATATAATTAATTATAATAATTCACAAAATCACAAATCACAAATCATCCTGTTAATCGTCGATTGCCTCGAGCAGGCCCCAGTAACGTCTCCTTCACCCTAGCCCTGAGATTATATTCAAGGCTTTTTAGGAGAATGAGACCCATCATTGTTACTGGTCTTTGGCATATTTGGTACGCCACGGGGAGTTTGCCAGACTCTGCCGTGTGGGCAGGCTACATTTGGTAGCCTGCCAGTTTGTCCAAAGTAGGAATGAGATAATAAGATGTCATAATAGGATGTCGCGCAGCCGCAAATGCGGCCGCGCGGTTCCGGGAGCTGGTTTTTATAGTCTCTGAGTCTTGGCCGTTGATGGGATTACATGGCGCCAGGGGGCCAGTTGGTGGGTGTGACCCCCGCCTACTGGAATTTGGAGGATCTTGGTGGAAGATGCTCGGCCCAAATCCGAGTAGGCTTGGAGATCTCGGCCCCGGAACCCGCGTGACTTTGTCCCTCTGCCAGTACCTTCATGTGTGTGGAGAGTGGTCTCAGCATGGTGGTGGCTGGTCCTGGAGGTCTTTGGCTGCTGGAGCCCTGGTCGGGATGGGGAGGAAAGCTCAACCCGCTCCCCTCCAAGGGGCCCTGGCGGCGAGGACAGTCAGGCGCGGGGGCATAATTAAAATGGAAAAATATGACACATGATAAGATGCAGAAATAGTATTTAAAATAATAAGTATTCATTAGTCATCAAAATAACTTTTTAAAAGAAATTTTTGAACCACATGAGATAGTTATAAGCTTTCATGTTTGGGTCACAATCGCACAATGACCCATCCCTCCACCAGTGCACATTCCCCACCACCAAGATCCCCAGTATACTCCCGCTTTCCCACCCTCCCCTGCCTCCATGGCAGACACCATTCCTCATAATCTTTCTCTACTTTTGGGCACTATGGTTTGCAATACAGACACTGAGAGGTTATCATGTTTGGTCCTTTATCTACTTTCTGCACACATCGCCATTCCCGACCGATTCCTCAAGCCATCATTTTCTTAGTGATCCCTTCTCTATTCCAGGTGCCTTCTCCCCTTTGCTCATGAGGCAGGATTCCAGCTATGGTGCAATCTATCTGTCCCATGTATCTACTATCCTTAGGTGTCAGCCTCATTTTATATTGTTTTATACTCCACAAATGAGTTCAGTCCTTCTATGTCTGTCCCTCTCTTTCTGATTCATTTCACTTAGCATGATACTCTCCATGTCTATCCATTTATAAGCAAAGTTCATGACTTCATTTCTCCTGACTGCTGCATAGTATTCCATTGTGTAGATGTACCAAAGTTTCTTTAACTAGTCATTGTTCTAGGGCACGTGGGTTGTTTCCAGATTTTGGGTATTGTGAACAGTGCTGCAATGAACATAGAGGTACAGATGTCATTTCTACTGTGCTTTTTTGCATCCTTGGGATATATATTCCCAGAAGTGATATTGCGGGGTCATATGGAAGCTCAATTTCTAGTTTTTGAAGGACTGTCCATATTGTTTTCCAGGAAGGCTGGACTAGTGGGCATTCCCACCAACAGTGAAAGAGTGTCCCTTTTTCCCCACACCCACGCCAGCACTGGTTGCTTTTGTTCTTTTGAATGTGTGCCAGTCTCTGTGGTGTGAGATGATATCTCATTGTTGTTTTGATTTGGATGTTGTTTTGATTTGGATCTCTCTGATGGCTAGTGATGTGGAGCATTTTTTCATGTGCCTTTTGGCCATTTGTATTTCTTTTTTGAGGAAACATCTGTTCATTTCTTCTCCCCAATTTTTGAGGAGGTTGGAGGTTTTTCTCTTGTACAATTCTTGTACAAATCAGATGGGTATTGGGTAAATATTCTTTCCCATTCTGTGGGCTCTTTCTGTATTTTGGTCACTGTTTCTTTTGAAGTGCAGAACTTCTTAGTTTGATGTAGTCCTATTTGTTTATGTTTGCGTCCCCTTTCATAGTCAGTGCTGTTTCATTCTTAAATATGCTCTTAGCTTCAATATTGTGGAGAATTCTGCCTATATTTTCCTCTTTGAACCTTATGGATTCATGTCTAATTTTGAGGTCTTTAATCCACTTTGATCTGACTTTTGTGCCTTGCATTAGACAGAGGTCAGCATTCATTTTTTTGCAGGTAGCTATCCAGTTTTCCCAGCACCACTTGTTGAAGAAGCTTTCCTTGTTCCATTTCACATTTCTTGCTCCTTTGTCAAAGATTAAGTGGTCATATATTTGGGGTTGTGACAGAATATTCAACTCTGTTTCATTGGTCTGCAGGTCTGTTTCTAGCCCAGTACGATGCTGTCTTAATTACTACTGCCTTGTAGTACAGTTTGAAGTTGGGAAGGGTGATGCCACCAAGGATTGTTTTAGCTATTCGTGGGGATTTATTGTTCCGTATGAATTTTAGGAGTGTTTTGTCTATTTCTTTGAAAAATGTCATGGGTATCCTGATAGGGACCACATTAAATTTGTATAGTGCTTTGGGCAGTATTGTCATTTTGATAATGTTAATCCTCCCTATCCATGAGCAGGGTATGTGTCTCCATTTCCTAGTGTCCTCTTTTATTTCTTGAAGTAGTGTTTTGTAATTTTCCTTGTAGAGGTATTTCTCCTCTTTTGTTAAGTTGATTCCAAGGTACTGGATTTTCTGAGTTACTATTGTGAATGGGATTATTTTTTTAATGTCTGTTTCTTCTCTTTAGTTATTTGCATATAAGAAAGCCATGGACCTTTGCGTGTTGATTTTGTAGCCTGCCACTTTACTAAACTGACCTATGTTTCTAGGAGCTTTTCTGTAGAGTCTTTAGAGTTTTCTGTTCTAAGGACCAACAGGTTCTTTGGGAACCATATGGGCTGCGGGTGATCAAACCAATCAATTCATGCAAGGCAAGCTCCCTACCCACTCTACTATCTCTCCAGCTCTCACTTTTTCTAACAACTCAAGTCTTGAAACATGTATAAACTGTGTAAACAGAGTAGACAGATAAATTGTGGTAAATTCTTGTGACAGAATACTGTCTTTAGTCAAAATGAGTGAATTGCATGAAATATAACATAATTTATCTCTTGAACATAAGATTGCATATAAAGGTGTAAAAAATGCTAAAAGATATGTAGTATCTTGTAAAAATATTACATAATTAAAGAGTATTTTATTTATAGATGTAAAAGTATAGCACTGTCCTCCCGTTGTTCATTGATTTGCTCGAGCGGGCACCAGTAAGGTCTCACATATATACTGTATGTAAAAGGTAAGTGAGGAAATGACAAATATAGAATTTAGGGTGATATTTATTTTTGAATGGGGAGATGAAATAGCTAGAAGTATGTTAGATGATGGCTGATGCTAAAATCTTATTTTGATGATTCTTGTGTGATTTTGCATATTATATATATTTTATGTATCCTTAATATTTAATACAAACTAAGACAAGTCCACAACACTTACATTTTTTTTCTGTAAGATTTTTTTTTTGGTCATGTAGTGCCTTTGAATGATTATTTCCAGTGTGCAGTAGCAGAGAGAATTCAGGTTGTATTTTGAGTTAATTACTTTTATTACATCCCTGTTGATCTATCTGCGGGACCATAATAATGGACATTGCAGTTTCATGAAAAGCAGCTGCTTTGACTAGGGAACCATCATTTTACTGTAAAACATGTTTTGCCCTTTTTTGGGTGGGGGGCGTCTGGGGAGCTGTGGGTAGGAGAATTTGAAGGCAGCCTGCATACCTTAATTTTCTTTTTCTTTTAATGTTTAAAAAAAATACTTTCAGTCACCTTTAAAGACGTCTAAGAATTTGTCACTCGTGGGGCCATCATTTATTGGAGGAAGTTTTCTCCATTGTTAACTGAGGGACACCAAAGCTATGTTTGGCAGCGCTCAAGTGGGGTTAAGATCGAATCCATATTTTTGTGCTCACCATGAAAGTGCTCATGCCCTTTGAGCAATCTTTTCTTTTGAGGAAACTCATGGTCTTCCTCGTTGGACTCATTGTAATTGGCTATTAGAAATTAAGTGAAATCAGTAATTCTTAAATATAAAGCTTTAGAATTACAGCATCTAATTTCTTGCCATTTTCTTGTTGTTTCACAGATTGATCAGCTGAAACAGGAACTTTCAAAGAAGGAGTCAGAACTTCTTGCCTTACAAACAAAGCTTGAAACTCTTAGCAATCAAAATTCAGATTGCAAGCAACACATTGAAGTGCTTAAAGAGTCACTTACTGCCAAAGAACAGAGAGCTGCCATTCTTCAGACAGAGGTAAGGAATTCACAAACAAATGTCTTACCTAAATAGCATTCTTCATAGGATTCTCTATGCAAACTCTTGGGACCAGTTGATATAGTTTGAATGTGAGATATTTTGAATGTGAGATATCTTTGGTATCTTGGAAGTTAAGACCTATTGCATGTAGTATAAGTCTCCCATTCTAGTAGCAAAAACCCTTTACAAACATATAAATATTTCTGCAGGAAAAAACATATAAATATTTTACAAACATATAAATATTTCTGCAGGAAAAAAAATTATAAGCCCAAATGGAAGATATCTTGCAGCTGTCAGTTCATGTTAAAAAAGAGTTATCTCCATGCTAGAATTTTGTTTTTTTCCCCACAAAGATTTAGGACTTTGGGGATCACCAGTTAATAATTAGATCTGGAATTGAGTCATTGTATTTGTAAAAATCATGAAAAAAATGTCAGCATGTGCTTTGGTGGGCTGGAGCGATAGCACAGCAGTAGGGCGTTTGCCTTGCATGCAGCCAACATGGCCGACCCGAGTTCAAGTCCTCCGCCCCTCTCGGAGAGCCCGGCAAGCTACCGAGAGTATCTCGCCTGCACGGCAAAGCCTGGCAAGTTCCCCATGATGTATTCGATATGCCAAACACAGTAACAAGAAGTCTTACGATGGAGACGTTACTGGGTCTGCTTGAGCAAATCGATGAACAATGGGAGGACCATGACCATGACCATGTACTTTGGTATGTATTAGAAAAAGTCCCTTTTTTTGGCATCCTTGTTTCCCAGGGACTCTTTCCTCCTAGAGTATAACTTCAATTTCCATGTTTCTTCTACCCACTGAGAAAAGTTGGTATTGTCAAAGTTTCTTAAAGGAAAGATTAGTGGGGGGTATGGTGCCGCCAGCAGGTCAATATGTACAAATGAGGCGAGTACATCAGCAGCCTGATGGCGCCTTCAGACTTCCAGATACCCCAAAATTTCTGCTGTGCCTTTGGCCAGACCCCAAAAACTTGGGGCAAAGTTTACCAAGAAAGTAAATGGCCAAAAGTTAGGTATGTGGGAGACACACCCACAAACCACCTCCGGCTCAGCTATATAATTGGAGGCATGGCCTCTCTGGTTCCTGATTGAACTGCTTAATGGCCATGATCCCAGAGACTCAGAAACAAATCTCGAAACCCAGTGGCTTTTGGCAGAAACGTGTCCAGTCCCTGCAGTAGGTTACCAGTGCTGGGCCAACCCAGGTGGGAATAGGTTTTGTACCTTGGCCTGTTCCCCCTGGCGGCCCGGTGGCCGCCATCCTCCAGAGGCCACTGGACAGTAAGGTTTGGGCCCACAGTGATGAGACACGCAGGACCTCACTGGATGGGGGTGGAGCCGGTCCTGTCCTTCCCACCCCAACGAGACCCCAAGTCATCGCCCACGAACGGCCTCTCTGGCTCCTGATCAAGCTGCTTAATGGCCATGATCCCAGAGACTCAGAAACAAATCTCGAAACCTAGTGGCATTCGACAGAAATGCGTCTGGACCCCACAGTAGGTTACTGTTGCTGAGCCACCCCAGCGGGGTAAGGATGTTGTCACTTCGCCTGCTTCCCCATTGGCGGCTCGGTGGCCATCATCCTCCAGAGGCCAGTGGACAGTCAGGCTTGGGCCCGCAGTCACGAAACTTGTTGGGCCTCACAGGATAGGGGTGGAGCCGCTCCTGTCCTCCCTGTCCCAATGAGACCCCATGTCATTGCCCACGAATGGCCTCCCTGGCTCCTGATCAAGCTGCTTAACTAAGGCCATGATTCTGAAACTCAGAAACAAATCTCGAAACCCAGCCACTTTTGGCAGAAATGCGTCTGGACCCCACAGTAGGTTACTGTGCCACCCCAGAGGGTAAAGGGTGTTGTTCCTCTGCCTGCTTCCCCTGGCGGCTCGGTGGCCATCATCCTCCAGGGGCCACTGGAAAGTCAGGTTTGGGACTGCACTGATGAGACATGCAGGGCCTCATGGGATGGGGGTGGAGCCGGTCCTGTCCTCCCCACCCCAATGATACCCCAAGTCATCTCCCATGAATGGCCTTTCTGGCTCCTGATCAAGCTGCTTGATGGCCATGATCCCAGAGACTCAGGAGTAAATCTCGGAACCCAGCAGGTTTTGGCAGAAATCCCTCCAGATTTATGTGTTAAAATTTTGGAATTTCAAAATCGAGAGGCCACTACTGCAGTCATGCGACATCATATGTTATTCATAACCAGCAATAGAATACAAATTGTCTACTGTTGCCTTTTCAGCAGATCTGAGTGTTGTGGTAAAATCTCAAATAATATTGGTGGGTCTGATGTCGAAATATTGAATGTGATTAAAGTAGAGAGAGAGAGTAATGTAGAAATCATCTGCCCCACAGGTAGGGGGAGGGTGTGGGATGGGGGTATACTGGGGTTGTTGGGGGTGGAGAATGGGCACTGGTGAAGGTACGGGTGTTTCATTGTATGACCGAGACATAGACCCGAAAGCTTTGTAACTGCTCTCATGGTGATTCGGAGACGTTACTGGGCCCGCTCGAGCAAATCGATGATCAACGGGAGGGCCTTTACTTACTTTACTCACAGTGATTCAATAAATAAGATTATAAAAACTGAAAAAAACAAGTAAGGTGGAGTCCATGCACAATTCAATCAGCTAATCAGTGACTGTATAAATAGCAGTACTCCTACATTAAAAAAAGGAAAGATTAGTTTGTTATTTCTTATTGATGCATAGAATAAAAAGAACAAGCATATATTAGTATTATATTTTCTTACTTTTCGTTCACTTGATCATATATGTATGTAGGTTTTGCTAAGATATGTGAAACACAAAGTGATTATTGTGTAAATAAAGCATTTTCCAGAAATAAAATAATCTATGTTGACCATTGTGTTGAATGCAGTGCATCTTTCTGTATTTTGTGTTGCAGTAGTGTACTATCTAGATTACTTTAGGAGAGGATAATCAAATCAGTACACACTTTCTCTCTTGCACTCTTTGAGTCATGTATTTGCATGTATGCATTTTGGGATCTCTGTGGTGGTTGTTTTCCTTTAGATTTAGAAGGGCAGTTTATGTTTGTATCCTTAGTCATATTGCAGGACAATGTCCAGGGGTGAAAAGAAGCAGGGTCCAGATTCGATAGGTATTGACATGCATCCAACTCAACCCCTAGACATTTGGCTTTGGCTGACGTTTAATTACTTTAAAATGAAATAATCATTAATGATTCAAATATATCAATTTAAGAAAGATCATTTGCAATTGTGGGTAGTTCGATTGCATTTATAGAAGCATGGGGTTTTTGTTGTTGTTTTGTTTTGGGGTTATACCCAGTGATGTTCACGGGTTACTCCTGGCTCTGCACTCAGGAATTACTACTGGTGGTGCTTGGTGGATCATATGGGATGCCGGGGAATTGAACCCAGGTTGGCCACGTGCTAGGCAAATACCCTACCCACTGTACTATCGCTCTGGCCTCAGCATGACTTTTATATTACGGCAAAATTTTAGAATATACCATAAACTAGGCCACGTGCAAGGCAGCCTTACAAGCGGCCAACATGGCCGACCCGAGTTCGATTCCTCCGCCCCTCTCGGAGAGCCCAGCAAGCTACCGAGAGTATCTCGCCCGCACGGCAGAGCCTGGCAAGCTACCGGTGACGTATTCGATATGCCAAACACAGTAACAACAAGTCTCATGATGGAGACGTTACTGGGCCCGCTCGAGCAAATCGATGAACAATGGGAGGACCGTGACCGTGACCATAAACTAGAAGATAGGTTGCATTTCCTTTGAGGAAGCAAAGTGGATGTAAAAAGAACTGTGTTTCTAATACCAGTCTCCTGATTTATGTTGGTAATCAAATTAATTAAAATGCAGTGACAATTACAATGAAGTTCTTTAATCACAGTAGCCAGATTTCAGGCACTCCCCCCCTTCCCTTCCTTTTGTTGTGGTGATAATGGTGTTCTATGGGTTACACTTGGTTGTGGTCCATCAGAAGTGGGGAGGGAATGAAGGTGGTGGTGTATGATTTGCACATATTAGGTAGTGCTCACCTACATACTTGGCAGCAGTATGTGCACACTTGTGACCTGCTCAGGGTTGTATACTCGGCTGTGATGCTTGCATTTGTGAAAGTGGTGCACCAAAGACTTGCATGTTTTGTGGCACCAAGAATGACACTGGCAGAGGTGGGTCCTCATGGACTATAGCAGGTGTTATGTCTCTGTTTCCCCCATCAGGAATTTAATAACCTTCGATGACTCGTGACTAGGGTATTGGACAGCACAGCTGTAGCATCTTTCTATCATCTAGAGGTTGTCTAATATAGAGGTCTAAAAATAGGATTTGAGGGAGAAATCCAGCCCTCTTGCTTGTTTTTGTAAATAAAGTTTTATTAGAGACACAGCCATATCCATCCATCCATGTGTTGTCTTTGGCTGTTTTCCTGCAACAACAGCAGAATTTGATAGCCTCAGAAACCACTGAGTCCACCAAGCTGAATATCTTTTACTCTCTGACCCTTTACAAAGTTTTCCAATCCCTAGCATTGTGATTTTATAGGCGGAATGACAACTAGAATACAGGGCATGTTCCCTCTCTGTCACTTTTCTGTCTGGCATCAGACAGAGAATTTGGTGACGTCTGTTCTAGAACACACTTTTTCCCCCCTCAGTGGTTATTTAAAAAGCATAGCTGTCTTGAGTTGCTAATCATGCCAACATCACTAATGTTAGTGTCAAATAAAGTTTGTGTTATTTTGTTACTCTATAATGGATAGGAGGAAATTTGAGGAGCAAGGCTATTTGCTGAAGTAGTGTTTAAGAATGAGAAACATCAGCTTTTAAAGACTTACTCTTTATTTTCCACATTGAACTCATGAATGCTCTCTTTCTTGGAGCATTTTCCCTTTCTTCTTCACTGTTTTACCTCTTTCAAGCAATCCAAATTAGATGTATAAATATTTCATGAAAAAAGACAGTGATGGCATTTTGT